AACTGTCTTGACTTCTATTTCCTCAAACTCCTAAAACAGAATGTTCTACAATGCTCCATGCAGAAGCTTGTCTGCCTCACTGCTCACAACTGGCCAGTGGCAAGGGTCTTGATTTATTGTCTCTCTGGGATGCGACTAGATTCCGATGGGACCCACTCTGTTTCTCTGGTCAGCTGGTTAGTTTCCTGGATCAGGTCTTGTCTCTGTTCTGACATGCCTGGGTCTGGTTAGAGAGCAGACATTTGGTCCCTTCCCTGAAATGGTGAGGAGGGTGAGCTCTCATGTCATGTGTAGAACAAACATGTGGTATTCCAAGAAAGTCTACTACATGAACTTGCTGGAATGAATTTGAAAATCACCGTTTTCATTATCCACAAATGAACTACAAATGTCCTTTTAAAATTATTATTTAATTTCATCCTCTAAGGAAATGAATAGCATTATACTTAAAGAAAATAAACATAGATCATATATGTGTATACACACACATTTTTCTCTCATGGGACTTATGTGGGCCTAGAAAATTAAAACAGTAAAAATATATAATAAAGACAAATGTTAACAGTGTAATGACTGAAAGTTAATTTAAATAGTAAATGTTAATTTTAAATATTAAAAGTTAATTTAAATATTAAATTTCATAAATTAAATATTAAATCATAACAGCTTGAGTTCATAGAGAAATGTGATGGCTATTTTTGTTTATCAGCTTGACCACATCTGGCATTAACTAAAACCCAAGCTGCTGGGTACAACTGTGAGGGATGTTTCTTTTTTCTTTGTTTTTTTTTATTATTTTATTTTTTTCAATTATCAGCTTGATATAGTACAAATTCTTATCCTAATAGTGAAATATTTCACTGAAGCTTGCCCAGTGATTGAGTAAAACCAAAAGAGGAATGTTTCTTGGTTGAATTATTTAAAATGGAAGACCCATCCTAAATCCAGATCTTTTGGGGTGGGAAGATCTACCTTAACTCTTTACCACAACTTTTGGTGGCCATCTATATAAAGGACACGGAAGAAGGAAACTTTCTCTTTGTCTGCTCGCCCCCACTCTGGCTGGCAACTCCATTCCTTCCAATGGCATTAAAGCCTCCTTCTTCAGGATTCTGATGCATGCTGAAGACCAGCTGAGACATCCAACCTCGTGGGTTGAGCTACAGGATTTTTGAACTTTCCATTGAGAGACAGCATTTTAGGAAAATCAGACCATAACCTGTAAGTCACTCTAACAAATTCTGTTTGTGTAGCTACATTTTCATTCTATCAGTTCTGTTTTTCTAGAAAACCATGAGAAATACAAGAGGCAAGTTCAAAATAAATATTCTTATGGGGAACAAATCACAGCTTTTAGTGTAAACATGCTAAGTCAGCAGAGGACAGATTGCTCAGAAGGCACAGACCTCTTCAGTGCCCAAAACAAATAAACAGCATCCAGTGCAGACCAGTCTGGGCTTCCAGGACACTGACCTCTACTTCTCCCAGGGCACTTATCTTCTTGCTTTGTTAAGTAGGAATTTTAGCTAAATGAAGAGACACACTTGTCTCTCCTTCCAGACTAAATTCTTAAAAGCAGGGTCCGAGACTTATCAGGTCTGTACCTTCTTTTCTCCTTTGTGCTTTGAGCTTAGAATTCTGCTCATGTGGGGTAGTGGTGGCACACGCCTTTAATCTCAGCACTCAGTAGGCAGAGCCAGGCGGATCTCTGTGAGTTCTAGGCCAGTCTGGTCTACAGAGCGAGATCCAGGACAGGCACCAAAACTACACAGAGGAACCCTGTCTCAGAAAAACAAAACAAAACAAAAGAATTCTGCTCATTTGTTTCATGATTGTGTTCATTTGAGTGAAGAGAGTAGTAACAGGTAAGAGTGGGACATGGATGCGTGTGTTAGAGATGTGGACATGATACCTTTATGTTATTTCCTAGCAGTCCCTTCATATTTCCTAGGATAGTCTTTCTTTCATTTTTTCTTTTGACAATGCTTCTTGTATTAAATATTATAAAACACCCAAGGTGGAGAGCAGCTAAATCTGGTCTTCACATTCCTGTGCATGAGTGCTCATACGCTCATACACAAAGGAAACTGATAAGCATACTTATCTAGAGAAGGAAAAGAAGACTGTAACCCTGAACTAGGTCAGGATTTTGGGAAAATGGAGCAGGTAGGAGGCATTTCAAACCATAGATATACGCCTTAGTGTATTGCTGTGACAGACATCATGACCACGTCAGCTTCTATAAGACAGCATTTAATTTGGGGGTAGTAAGGTCCATGACCACCATGGTAGGGAGCATGGCAGCATGGAGGCAGACACGGTGCTGGAGCAGTAGCTGAGAGCTCACAGACAATCCACAAGCATGAGGCAAAGAGGGAGAGCTAACTGGCAATGGCTTGGGCTTTTGAAACCTCAAAGTCTCTCCCAACCCCTGCCAGTAGTACACCTCCTCCAAGGCCACATCTTTTAATTGTTCCCAGACAGTTCCACCAACTTGAGACCAAGCATTCAATTGTATGGGGTACAGAATAGCCAAAGCATTCCTGGATTTAGGAAAGGTGCTCATATGCTCTGTTCAATTAAGTGTAAACACCCCAACTTCTGGGTCTGTCATTCTGTTTAAGGTCAATAATTCTTCATGTCGATTATATCTGATTTTAAAGCTAAATTTGTTTCTGTATTTTGGAATAGGACTGATATAAACTGGGCAGGGAATCAAATATTTTGTTGCTCTTGGTTCAAGACAGGGTTTTTCTGTGTAGCCCTGGCCATCTTGGAACTTGCTCTGTTGGCCAGGGTGACCCTCTAACTCAGAGATCTGCCTGCCTCCACCTTCCAAGAGATTAAAGGCATGGGACATCATGCCCAGCAGCAAATTAGAATTACAGGCAGTAGTGAGCTGCCATATGCTACTACTGGAGATTGAACCTGCGTCCTCTGGAAAAACAGCCAGTGCTCTTACCCACTGAGCCATCTCTCAGGCCTCAAATACACATCGACCAAGGAAATTAAGGAAAATTATTTAACCAGCAGAAAAAATTTGCACATCTGTGGTGGCTACACTACTTTAAAGTCTGTAGAATTTTGTGAAGTATGGAAAAGTGAGGCAGTCATTTCTGGATAGCAGGAACACAGTCAGTCCTGTTTACTGCTGCATTCCCAGCACCTAGTCCAATGCCTGGAAATGTAAATATCAGGCATTCAACCAGTCTGTACATGGACACTAACCTACTCCACAGAGTGGTTTCCTGTAGGATTAATGAAAATATCCTCTAAAGAAAAGCAAACAGAAAACTCCAGAACTAAGATAAAAAGTTCTGGGATGGTAGTCTTAATCCTTTCAGCAAGGAAACAACAGATACTCTTGGAATTTATGCAACCCAGGAAGGGTAATGCCTAGTGTAGTCTGAAAAACACTCACTTTAGAAAAGCTTTATATAAAAATATTTTCTAAATGGATGACTTCACATATGGCTCTCAAAACTGCAATTCTGGCTGTGCCGTCATGTTTCCAAAGTAGGTTTGGAAGTCAACCAAACTAGGGTGTACACTTGTCTACATGCCAATGACCTACTTAAAAATGGACAACTGATGAGTGATTATGAAACCAAAGAAAATTCTAGGATGAATATGTTTGTAAGAACAAAACTGTGAATGGGCAGCTTATAAATGTCAAGATGAAACACAGCTTCTGTAGATATTTTCAGTTACGAACTCTTTAAAGGAGGTATCAGTCTACAATCCAGAGTGAGCAATTATAAAATTGACAGGCATGCGCACACACACACACACACACACACACACACACACACACACACACACACGAGCACCCTATTTCTGTGTCCACTGAGAACTTCCTTGACATGGTGGGATTTGTTGGCACATGCCTGTAGTCCCAACACTGAGTATGCAGAAGCAAGCAGATCTCTGAGTTTGAGGCCAGCCAAGCCAGAGTGACACCCTGTCCCAAAACAAACCAAAACAACAAAAACCCAGGAAATATTTTTGGTACACCTAGAAAGCCGAGTACTGGGCTCAGTGTTACATAATTTTCATGGTATGTAATGAGGTAGAAATCCATACCATTACCTTAAAAGCAAAGCAGTCCAGGTTCAGGGCAGTTAAAAATGTGTTTAAATCTGTGCCCTATTACCCCCCAATCCCTCAGTATAGGGGACTGGATTCCATGCATGATAGGCAAGCGCTTTGCTACTGTGCCATATCCCTGCCACTCATTTGCTCAGAGTGGTCCTGAATTCTTTAGGCACTCTTTAGGCACACAGGCCGGCTTTGAACTCGTGATCTTGCCTCAGCCTCCTGAGTAGCTAGGATGACAGGCCTGTGCCACCAATGGCCAACTCTCTTGGCTGTTTTTAGTCATAGAAGACTAGCTAGCACTAAACCTAACTTACAGTTTCTAATATTCACCTTCTAACTCAATGCCAATAGAATGGAGTCAAGCACGAAAGTCAACATGATGTCTGTGGACATTCACTTTGTACAGAAAGAATTGGTACTGATGGGAAGGTCACAATGCCAATACTTAGGATTCCCCTTCCACTCTCGCTGCAGATTTTCAGGAGGAACTCCCTCTGGAGAGTCCCTTGGGAAATCTAACATGATGTTTACTACCTAGTGGGTGACTAGAGCTAGCTGGATGAGGAGAGAGGGAGTGTTACTACTCAGGGCCAAGAAAAGCAATTTTAAGACCCCACTGTCACTAAAAATATCTAAACAAAACACAGACTCCAACAGGAACCCAGCACCCATGGTAGAAGCTGTAATACAAACCCATTTCTTGTAAAAAATAATTCAAATGCTAAAGACATTAGGACAAATTATTGAAAGTTTCGCTTTGTTTTTCCAGGTACCAACACGATTATAAGCTTTCTATAGGGACTAATTCTATATGTTAAATCTGCACCTCCATAAAACCAAGACGAAGGCAGTATGGATCTGGATGTGTACAACGATGCCATGAGAAAACAATCAAGAACAAGACAAGTATATTATTTTCTTTATATACAAAAACAAAGGCCCAAAATATGGTTTGTTGAAGTAGCTATCAACAGGACGTCAGCTGATTTCACATTTGCTTTGGTCAACACAGCCTGGGAACAGCAGTCGGCCCCCTCCTACCAGCACAGAAACCCACTGACAGGGCTGCCTTCAGTACAGAACAAAGAGCTTTCAGGAAAAATAATTAATTTTAAACCAAAACATTTTACCAATAAATAAGAAAATTTAAAAGGTAGCATCCCCATCTGACAATCTTGGGCATAACACATACACCAATTTTGAAAATAAAATTTTTCTCACAATAGTAGTAGCAGGTGATAATACAGCAAGCCATGTAATGAAATTTTTAATGTATTTTTTTAAAAGAAAATCTTAAGAACCAAACATGAACTTTAAAAGTTGGCACTTTCTACAACTGTACATATCCTAAAACAATCATCTAGTACTTTCTTACAGAACATAATTCAAACTCTGTTGGCGTTTCAATATATTCCTAAGGAAATAGTTAAAATCACATTTAGTATGCTGGATCTTAAACAAAGTTCATAATTCTGATTTATGGCTATGAAAAGGCAGTCAGCCTCTATCGAAAACCATAGCCAGTGATAAAACATACTTGGAAAACATAAACATTTGGTCTGATGATCTTTAATATCAGTTAAGACAGTCTGATGTTTGATGCCAATGAAAGGTACTTTAATCCAATGTGCAAAAAAAAAAAAAAAAAAAAAAGGAAAAAAGAAAAAAGAAAAAAAAAAGTGCAGCTGTCCTCTTCCTTGAAACACACAGGACCAACACTACTATTTACACATTCCAAAGATTTTAAATTTAAGCATCTTCTTCAGGAGAAACTGAGTGCTGCTGCAGAGCCCCAAAGCTTGATCATCCATAAACTACAAAGACATCTCAAGAAGCATTTTGTTTCTTGTCCTAATTTTGATCTTAAATACAAAACCAATTTTGAAATCATTCAGGATTTGAAGACTTAGGAAATCTCAAGGTTTCTGTATCTGTGAAAACCCTGTCTCAGGGATTTTTCTCCTCGCACTACGGGTTCACTCCACAGACACCCACAGGTAGAGTGGCCACACTGGACAAAAGAGGAACTCAGTCTCAGCACTACCAGCACCCTGGTGGTCTCACCCACCCTGAGGCACACATGGCCTGCAGCATTTGGGGTGGGTACAGGGACCATCGCAATGGATGAAGAAACACTTCAGCAAAGCAACCATTATTGTCCACAGAAACAGTAAAAACAATGATATATAGATATTTAAAAAAAAAATCAACAAACCAAATATAAAACTAACACCATTCCGTGTTTCCAAACTTGGTTTTGTACTTATACAGTGTTCTGGGTCAGCATGTGCCAACGTTTTCTGCATCAACATGAAGTTCTTGTATCCAGTTATTAAAACTGCTGTTTGGACCGTAAGTCACATACATTGGGACGATTAGGAAACCAATTTATCCAATTACTCTGCAGTGCACTCACCAGCCTGGCCAAGTGTAGAGAAATTAAGAACGGAACAGAAGCCGCTCACATTGAACTGGACAAAGGGGTTTTCAAATTAAAACCACAAAGAAGGGCAGGGGAGCTTACTGGGAACATGAATACTAGACACCACAAAAAAAAAAAAAACAAAACAAAAAACTGTTTGGTCAGGACGTAGGAACGTTAACTGCCTTGAGAAATTTGAAAATCACCTAACTGGAGTGAGCACTGCCTTGGGTCCAGCCAGCACAACACTTTTAAGTTGCCACAAAAGCAGTCAAAGGTGTTCGGTGACCACGATCCATGCCACCTTGGCGTCAACCTCCCAGGCCAAGTGTTTCTGACCCATCATCCCCTCTAGCTACAGGCGATTGTCTCCAGCTGCTGCTCGGCCTCGGCAGCCATTGCTGCCGCCTGCAACTGTTCTGTCTCGCTCTGGATGGCACTGGGGGTGACCTGTTTCCTCTCACTGTGCATATTGTTCTCATGTCTCTTCAGATCCGAGGCCTTGGCAAACGCCTTGGTGCAGGAGCCACACACAAAAGGCTTCTCCCCTCTGTGTCTCCTCTCGTGGTCCTTGAGGTGAGACTTGTGTTTGAAGGCCTTGTCACACATGTGACACGCGAAGGGCCTCTCGTTGCTGTGAACCCGCTCATGCTTCTTTAGGTCCGGGGCTCGGATGAAGGACTTCCCACACACCTCACAGCTGTAGGGCTTATACCCGGTGTGAATTTTCAGGTGTTCTTTCAGGTGGGCCTGGGTGGTGAAACCTTTCGTACACATTTCACAAACAAACGGCCTGTCTGCGGTGTGGAGCTTCTCATGCTTCCTCAATCTGCCTTCGTCAGAAAACGTCTTACCACACGCTTGGCAGGCAATCTGCTCCCGATGGTGACCGTAAAGCAAATACTCAAACTTCATGTCACTGGCGGCCGTGGTCCAGCCCGGGGTCTGTTCGTCTTTCACTTCACCCATCCCGTCATTAAATGTTAAGGCTTGAGGGGTCTGAGACCCCAAATCTTTGGACTCGGGAGTCTCCATGGATTCTACTTCCTGGCCGTAGCAGTTCACTTTGCGAACTTCCTCGCTCCCCAACTCTTTCAAAATCGCTTCCTGAACCCTGAGAGTAGTTGTGGGAGACTTGCCGTCCTCCTGACTGGGGGGCGTGCCTTCTACAGTGTCGTCGGAAGGGCTGTCATCCTGATCCCCGATTTCTTCCACGTCATCATCCTGGGCGTCGGCGGCATCTCCGATGGGGCGGTTTAATTTGAGGCAGTACTTACTCTTGGACTGGCCATTACTCTCATCAGGACTAGACACGTCCCGCTTCTGAGAACAGAGTTTATCCAAAAACCGGATACCCAGTATCTGACCCGACGACATCATCAAGTTAACATCCTCCTTTTTCACGGAAATCTTGGCGGTGTACATGTAGTTCAGGACCTCTTCAAATATGTCAGAGCGGAGGAAATCTATCTCTATGACCGAGGAACTATCCACCTCCAGCTTCTTGAAAAGCTTCTTAAAGTAGGTGCTGCAGGCAGCGAGAACACACCGATGGGCTCTGAACTTTACATCTTCAACCACGATGGCGATATCACAAAATTCTCCTTCCAGGCGCTGTTCATTCAGCGTTTTCAGAAACAGTGTTTTATGATCGTCGTCATTATACTTTATGGTTTCAGACATACTGATGAAAAACTCCTGCAAAAAATTTTTTTTGAAGAGTTTGATTATTGTGTGGTACTCCCCATTACCCCCCCCCCCCCCCACTAAAAAGAAAAACCAGTCATACTGTGAATATTTGGAACCTAACAATTTAGAAAATCAGTGTTAATGACGGTCCAAAAACAGGCAGAAAAGAATTGACCCCAGACAAGGGATTTTCATATTGCTATTTTGAAGTACTTTCAGTTTACTAACAGCTTCCTAGTTATAATAACAATGTCAGCTTTTGACAAAATACAGGCATTATTCTATATGCTTTAGAAGTCTCAATACACTTAATTACAAATAGTCCTATGCAGTGGTGCTGTCCTCAGCTTATAAAAGGGGTTAGGAAGCTGCCCAACATTCTACAGCTATTTAAGATGTGGTAATCAAATCCAGGAAATGTGGTTTAAAAACTTACGCTGTCAGACTGCCAAGACAAAGGAAAGACTTCTAAACAGCCCGACCTTGAAGTCTAAGTTACAGGGTTGAGACAAGAATCCTCAAGTCCTGGAGCCACAGACCTCAGTGGGTAAAAGCACTTGTACAAGTGTATGGGGGCTGTATCCCCAAGCACCAGGGTAAATGCAGGTGGGCACATGTCTGTCACCTCTAATTTTGAGATGGCACAAAGGAATTCTGGAGCAAAGCCAGCTAGCTCTACTAGCTGAACAGTGAACTCCAGGTTGAACTGAGAGATCCTGCCTCAATGAACAGTGGAGAGGAATCAAGGAAGGAAGACTCCCACCCTGTCGGCCTCACTCGGGTCTCCAGAGGAATGGCCATACCCATGCACACGCACTCACACACACTCAGACATGAATACAGACACCACAAACACAGAAGAACAAAAAAGAATCCTCAAGTCCTATCTGTATGGAGGACCTGGGAAAAATGACATCAGGGCAGGGCATTACACTTTCTTGAGAGGAGAGACAAACACCACTGAAGAACTAGAGAGGGCATGGCAGCCACCATAGTCTGCACGGTCTTCCAGTCTCTCCACAGCAGTTTTGGGCCACTCCTGGATGAGTGTCAAGGATTAATCTGACCCCAAAAGACATCTGGGAAGAGACTGGTGAGTGGCTTCATGCCACAGGATGACAATCTTCCAGCCTTCCAGTTAAAAGTCTCACCAACAACAGGTGTACAGGTTGAGTATCCTTTCTCTGATATGTTTGGGACCAGAAGGGTTTCAAGTTTTAGGTTTTTCCAGACTTTGCAATACATGTAACATGTATATACATGAGATAAATTGGGGATGGTAGTCCAAGCCTACATATAAAAGTAGTTGGTATTTTATACATACCTTATACACATAGCATGAAGATAATTTATATAGTATTTCAAATAATATTTTATTTCTGGTTTCTTTTTTTCTGTGTTTTTTTTTTTTTCTTTTTCTTTTTGGTTTCAAGACAGAGTTTCTCTGTGTAGCCCTGACTGTTCTGGAACTCACTCTGTAGACCAGGTTGGCCTCAAACTCAGAGATCAGCCTGCCTCTACCTCCTGAGTGCTGGGATAAAAGGCGTGCGCCACCACCGCCTGGCTCAAATAGTATTTTAAACAAAACTTCACAGTACAGAATTTTCATGTGTGGCTTATCAGTCTTCAAAAAGTTTCAGATTTTTAATATTTTGGACTTACAGGGAGGGTCAACCTGTACTCAGTAAGTGTTGGATTATTTTAAAAGCAAAGAATTTCAAAACCATCATGAAAGACCTACCATTGTGTTCAAGAATTGATCTAAAAACAATGTATTTTACACTTTCTAGCAAAAAAAAATTGCCTTACTTTTATTCAACCAAGTATAAGTCTGAGGAGAAGAGATTTTGTCCTCATGGAAATAGAACTGTAAATGTATAACGAGAATGTGCATGCGTGCGTGCGTGCATGCATGTGTATACAGAGTGGGGACCAGGGACTTGCTTAAATCAAGTAAATACACTACCCCTTATCTGATACCCCTAGACTGGAGAGACTTATTTTAAATGAAATGCCAAATGATATTCTAAGCCTTAATATTCAAGGCATACTTACCATGAACAATTCAGGCTATTTTCTTAATGCCTTGAACTCCGAAATCTTCAGATCAGAGTAAGTCTGATCAGAGGCAAGCCAGATCTACCGGAAAAAGATAAAGACTAAGTAAGATATTGTTCCACCTCTTGCATATGAACCCATTTTTTTTCTGGGAAGAAACAGGGGGGCTAGCAGCAATCAGGCCTGGTTCTACACAAGGCCTACAAGTGTGGCAGGTGACACAGATTCTGAAAACCTCATTGTGTGTTCCTTAGCCCCATCATTTCCTGTTGGGCACACAGTTCCCCACATTTCCCTTTAGGATCTATAAACGTCTAAATATAGGAAGGGCTGTAGGAGACACATACCCAGCAGTTAAGGGGAAGGGGTAAGTATGCTACTTTGTTCATACAAGGACAAACTGTCCGAAAGACTGCGGTGGAGAAAGCCCACACTTTCCCCTCGATCCCTCCCTATAGGAAGGTTCAAAGAATTTTCTTTGATTCTTAACTCTCATCTAAAGAGATCCTGCTACTGCCTGCAGACCAATAAAGAACAAAAACATCCTCTACTGACCACCAATCCCACAAATACAGAAGTCTGTAGAAGCAGGTGGCTGTCCAGTCCTACACAAAGACTCGGCGCCAGACTCCACCAAAGGACCCGAAACAAGTTCCTGCAATAGGGACCACAGAGCTCTGAACTAGCAGGCTTTCTCATCTGTACTATGTGAGGGCTGGCAAGATGGATTTCTAAGGATGCTCCATTCTTCATCTCAGCCTTCCTGTATTCCAGATGCAGCCTGGGCCTGCAGTCGGGCTGAGGGAGGGTACTCCCTTCAGAATCTTTAGTGACAATTCTGCTGTCACTAACTGTGGAATCAAAGGGGCATGGCACTTGGGGAAGAGTGGCCCTACAGTAGCCATGGCAACATATCAGCGTGCAGCTCCTCATTTCTGGTTAGTGTGTATTCTTTTTCAAAGGAGGTCACGGGCCAATCGGCTCGTTTTTTTCCCCCTATAGAGATGTTCCCATTGCTAAGTTCAAATGAGTCAAACCGGAAGATAGCCATTGCCAGTATGTGTGTAAGTAGGTGTGGGACAAGACACAGTCCAACACCTACAGTACCATAAAGCAGCTCCTTGCTAGCAGTTCTCCAAATCGCGGGAACGCTAAGGCTCCCTCACCGAGCAGGGAGCCAGGCTTTCCCAAAGCAAACTTACATAAGCAGCCGCAGCCGCCTCCTTATTCCGGAGCAGCTGCGACAATGGCGGCCACACCACTTCCCTGTTGCGACCGCACAACTTGACAGTGGGGAAGACTGGGCCCGGCACCGGACCAGGGGCGCAGCCCGCGCGTGGGTAGCCCACGCTCGCATTTCGCAGCCCGTGAGCCGCCGAGTGCAGCGAGCGAGCCCCGAGCATTCTTTTCCCAAACAAAAGCTCCCCTGCGCGGCGGCGCCCGCCGGCGACCGGCCACTTTCCCTTCCGTGGTCCGCCACTTCTCCAGGTGGCGGCGCGGGAGCGAGGCTCTGCCTTGGCCCGCAGCAGCCCCGGCGGCGCGACGAGCACGGGAGCGGGCATGCGGCCGGTTCCGCAGCCCCGCGCCGCGCCGCGCCCTGCTCCGCCCGCGAGCCCCGAGCTCGCGCCCCGCGCACTCCGCGGCCTGCGCGTCTGGTCCTCCCGCGCCCTCCCGCGGCCAGGGGCGGGGGCGGCGCGCGGCCGGCTCCCCGGAGCTCCGCGGACGCAGGCGGGGGAGCGTGCGCGGGGGGTCCCGTCTGCTCCGGGGAGTGTGGGGGGGGGGTAGGGGGGGTGAGGACAGCTGCGAGGGGCGGCGCCCCGCGGGCCGCGCTCGGGCCCGGCTCGGCCGTCCCCACCCCCACCGCGGTGCACTGCGGCGCTGAGAACGGGGCGGCCATGAACTCGGCCGCCGAGCGAGCGAGCGAGCGAGCCAGCGAGCGCGCGCGCGGGCCGCCGCCTGGCCTCTCCTCCACCCGCTCGCTGGCCTGCGCGGTCCCCGGGGCGCCCGGCCCCCACGCCCAACCGCGGCCCACGCCCGATCCCGCTCGCACCGCGCTGCGCCGCCACATCCTGCAGCTGGCGGCTGCCCGAGCTCGGCGGGGACGCGCCTCCTCTCAGCCGCCCCGCCGCGCCCGCCGCCGGCTGCCCCCGCGTCCCCGCGCCCGCCCCGGCCCTTTTCAGCACCCGGCCCGCGCTTACCTGCAGCCCTGATACAGCCACAGACGCTCGCCGTGGGCTCCCGCGTTCGGCAAGCGCGCAGGCCAGGACGGGATGGACGCGGGGGCACGGTGGGTGGCAGTGTTTTGGATTTTTTTTTTTTTTTTTTTTGTAGTTTGGGGAGGGGGTGGGGTGGGGGGAATCGTGCACGTCCCTGGTGGTAGCAGCCCTCCTCCTGCACGAGCACAGAATATCTAGCCTGCCGCGAACACCCCCACCACCCCCCCTCCCCGTGCATGCGCGGTGCGGGCTGGGGGGAGAAGGCGCGCCTCCGCTTGCGCAGGCACGGAACCCGATCGGGCCTCTTAAGTGAGCGAGCCGGGAAAGGGTTAAACTGGGACCTTACGGGTCGACGCTTTCCTTGGGTCTACGGGGCCGCCCGCGGAGGGCCCTGGCCTGCGCACGCGCGCGCACGCGCGCGGCATGGGGCGCGCGGAGCCCGCGCGCGGGAGAAGGGATGGGCGGGGCGAGGGCGGGGCTTTCGGCCGCCCGGGGAGCGAATGCTCGAGCTCAGTTCTCGGGCACCCGCCCCGCCTGGAGCTCCCGACTCCGGGGCTCCCGCCGGCGCCCGGCCTCGGCGCTGCAGCGGGAACGCGGGAGCCTGCGCTCCCGTGCGTGTGCATGTGCGTGGGCCAGGACTGCCCCTGGGCGCGCGCGGTTCGGGCGCTGCGCTCGCCCTGGCTTTTGGGCAGGTGTCCCGGGCACCGTCTCTCACTGTGCACTCGCCCGGATACCCAGACGCGGTTCCTGGACGCCAAGGGCTAGGTTCATGTCGCTGCGGCATTGTTTATGGGGAGCAGGCATTGGCAGAACAAATGAAGTGCCATCTTTGATTTGGATTGAAAGGGGGCAATTCCAGTCACCCAGGACAAACTGCACAACCCCAAAGCTCTGGATCTGCCAGACCCATCGGTGCCCTAGGGTTTACCCAGGTGCTTCCCTCTCTAGCCGGCATGCACTTGACGCTCCCATGGGGAGTTCTGATAGCTTGGTGCTGTCAGCACATCCGCGTACGTTATAGCTCCCTTGCCAGTGAACCTTGTGTTCCCTGTGCTGCATGGCCTCTTTACCTCCCCTCAGGCTCACAACCTGGGAAGTCCCTTTAGCTCCCCCATTTTCTGTTCAGCCTACAATACTGGCAGCTGGGCTGAGCTGTCCTGCCCCTTAGAGTCACTTCGGCTGCTTTATCACACTTCTAACAATCTGTGTTAAATCACGTGAATAACATCTGAAATTAGGGCAGGACCGTGGACTTATGGGAAGATGATGTAAGAATGCCTGTTCCAGGCACATAAGTAAACATGAAGGAACACTGTGATTGCCTCTGCTTTCTAAAGGACATCTGTTCAGCCTCAGCTGTAATATTAACCAGTACTGGTTGAACATTTCCCAAGGTGTTTTGATAGACATCTTCATTTTTTTTTTTTTAAATTTTCTGTGTGTGAGTTTTTTGCCTGCTTTAACGGATGTGCACCACATGTGTGTGTGGTGCCAGTGGAGGTCGGAAGAGGGCGTCAAATCCCCTGGAACTGGAGCAGGATGATTATTAGTCACCACGTGGGTTCTGGGAACCAAACCCGAGTCCCCTGTGAGAACAGTAAGTGCTCTTAACATCTGAGCTATTGTTCCAGCTCCCACACACGTCTTTCGATGCTCACAATAGCAGTTGTGTTAGCAGGTGTGGTGGAAGAGTTGACATAGGATAAACCTGTTCTAGAGTCAGGCATGTCTGGTTCAAATACTGGATAAACTAACTAAGCCCCATTTTTGTCTTTTTTTTTTTGGTTTTTTGAGACAGAGTTTCTCTGTGTAGCTTTGGACCCTGTCCTGGAACTCACTCTGTAGTCCAGGCTGGCCTCAAATTCACAGAGATCCGTCTGGCTCTGCCTCCCGAGTGCTGGGATTAAAGGCATGCGCCACCACTGCCCGGCTACCATTTTTGTCTTTTAATGATTTATTTTTTATTGCTTTTAAGTGTGTATGTGGGGGTGGGGCTGGAGGGATGGCTCAGAGGTTAAGAACACTGGCTGCTTTTCCAGAGAGTCCTGAGTTCAATTCCCAGCACCCACATGGCGTCTTACAACCATCTATAATGATATCTGGTGCCCTCTTCTGGCGTTCAGGCATACATGCAGCCAGAACACTGTGTACATAATAAATAAATCTTTTTAAAAAAGTGTGTGTGTGTGTGTGTGTGTGTGTGTGTGTGTGTGTGTGTGTGATTGAACATATGGATATGTGCCTGAGTGCATGTGACCTTTGGAAGCCAAAGGCATTGGTTGTGTGTGTGTGTGTGTGTGCCTATGAATTCATGTGACCTTTGGAAGCCAGAGGCATTGGATCCCCTGGAGCTGGAGTTACAGACCATTGTGAGCCACCTGACATGGATGCTGGAAACCAAACCCTGGTCCTCTGGAAGAGAAGAAGGAGCTCTTAACAGTTGAGTCATCTCTCCAGCCTTTTAGGCCTCACCCCCTTGTTTTCTGAAGTGGAGACAAGGAAAGCTGGGCAGTTGTGAGAATTGACCCATACAGTGCCCAGGTAAGTTCTTAGAGCACATATTAGTCCCCTGTTGTTAAGGACATCCATGGCATCCGTGGTGCTGGGTTCCCATGGCAGAGGCAGGAAGTGGTCATCCTACTGGACACTCTGCCTGTTTGCTTTCTTCTTGTTTGCACAGCTCCAAGTTTACACTCTGGTCTGACTGTGCTTTGTTTATAGGGGAGCAGTAATGGCACTCTGTCATGGAGTTGTGGTGTGAGGCAACAGAGGGATGGCTGAAGTTCATGGTGCTGGAGCACAGCTAGCTTGCGATCATCTCCACTGCTACCACCGCTGCTGCTCTTTGACCACATCCGAAGGGGCTTCACTCCTCTCGGGTTTATTGTCAGCCTCATGTATAGAGATGGTCTTTTTGCATATGGGAAATAATCTGCCCCTGTGTTTTGAACAAGCTAATGAAATTAAATTAGTTCAGAAGAGTTCATAAGCATTAGAACAATGAGGTGCTCGACATTTTTAGTTTTGTATCAGTTATTCCTTGCATTTATGTTTATACAACCTGTGCTCTGCCTGCCTGGTCCTTGCTTATCATTGGGACTCACAGGAATAAATCTAATAAAGGGACCATTCTCATGGGCAGGAGGAGCAGGGATGGGAAATCCCTGCCTATGCCAGCACCGTTAGCACCTAGCACCTATGAGACTCATAGAAAACACCAGTCGATAGCAAGAATCAACCTGGAATTCAGTATTAAAGAGTACATTGTGAAGTTGGTAGGGATCAAGGCCCTCCTGAAATACATTGAAATGTGAAGCCTTTGATGGAAGTGTTCTTCCTTTTCTACTAACAATGGCTGTCATTCTAGATGGGAGACAAGTGCTGGGGTCACTCAGAGCATGCTGTTTTTCACACAGGATGCTCATAGTCTCTGAAAGAAAACCTGTTTCTGAGAATTGTGAGACTGGAATATGGGACATATAGTATGGCATGTGGAATGCCAGGGCTTTGACAGATACAAAACAGCCTTTTAAGGGACAGTTGAAAGTTGTCCTGTTATTTGGGGTTCTTACCAGTGAGTGGAGTTGATGTCTCCATCACACTGACCGTGGCATCTACTGTTGGTTTTGACTGTGGATACCAGTAGTAGAGATTGGGCAACTTCTAAGTAGTGTTTTTGAATAATCTGTATTCTATTCCTCATGCTCTTGGTCATCTGTGTTTAAAGGAACACTCAGGTCACCATCTCCTCTGCCGCCTTGAATGACTAACAGATCTTAAAAAATGAGACCCATTGCACATGAACTGAACCTAACCAAGTTCAGGTAGGCAACAGCTTACCCACATCCTGTTAGTAAGGAATATATTTGTTTTGTAGGCTACTGGGTGACTGTATTTTGTTTTGTTTTGTTGGTTTTTTTTTTTTGTACAAAATCCAATTCATCAATAAAAGGACAAATGTCTCACCTAGTGCCAAAAGTACCCTTCCATCCTACTGCCCTGAAAATCCCAGATATAGTAAAGAATAAAATGACATGACAACATGGAGATAAAGATATACACCTTCAACAGATGTCCCAGCAAGGACCTTAACACAAAAGTTTAAAAGCATACACGACCATGAAGAAGGAACAGGGAGAGCTAGATTCAAATGGGAAATCAGTAAAAGCTTCATTATTCTTTTAAGACCTGTAGGATGACTGAGGTATAGCAGAAGGGAGTCGGGGAAACAAAAGCTTCAGACAGCCAGTGTATTAGTCAGGGTTCTCTAGAGTAACAGAACTCACAGAATGAATCTCTATGTAGAGAGGGGGTTTAGAATGCCTTACAGACCACAGTCCAGCTAATCCAGCAATGGCTGGCTGTGAACCAAAAGTCCAAGAATCCAGAAGCTGCTCAGTCCTCGAGGCTATATGTCTCAGCTGGTCTTCAGTAGAATCCTGAAGAAGTAGGCTCTAACGCCAGTGAAGGAAGGGACATGTTAGCAAGATGAGGGCAAACAGGCAAAGAGCAAAACTTCCTTTTTCCATGACCTTGTATAGACTTCCAGCAGCAGGTGTAGCCCAGGTTAACGGTGTGCCTTCCCACCTCTAGATCCATATTAGAGGCTTGTCTTTTCCCAGCTCAAAAGATCGGGATTAAAATCATGTCTTCCTAACTCAAAGATCCAGATTAGAAGTGGATCTTCCTATTTCAAATTAAGCAAAAAAAAAAAAAAAAAAAAAGAAAAAGAAAAAGAAAAAAAAATCCCTCAAAGTTATGCCCTCCATTTTTGGGGTTTTAGTTCCAAATGTAGTCAAGTTAATGACCAAGAATAGCTACCACAGCTAGGCATGGTGTGAGTGAAAGAGTGGAAAGAACTTGGTATGGTTGAGGTTCCACAGAGGACAGAGTGACCAGAATGTAGTGGCCAGGAGTTGAAGCCATGGGAAGAGCAGGCCTTGTGGTCTGCCACAGAGGGGTCTGGATCTTATGCTAAGTATGGTGACAGCCTCCAAAGGGATTTCCTTTTTCCCTTTTAGTTTTTGTAAACGTTATTGTTGCTCTGTGTGTGTGTGTGTGTGTGTGTGTGTGTGTGTGTGTGTGTGTGTGAGAGAGAGAGAGAGAGAGAGAGAGAGAGAGAGAGAGAGAGAGAGAGAGAGAGAGAGAGAGAGAGAGACTTTGTGGAATTGGTTCTCTTTCTGCCTCCTGAGTCCCGGAGATTGAACTGGGGTTATGTGATCTGGAGGCATGTGGCCTTCCTGAAACACTGAGTTGTCATCTCAGTCCAGCTTTTCTTTCTTTTTTTTGTTTTGTTTTGTTTTGTTTTTCGAGACAGGGTTTCTCTGTGTAGCTTTGGAGCCTGTCCTGGACTAGCTCTGCCTCCCGAGTGCTGGGATTACAGGTGTGCGCCACCACCGCCCGGCCCAGCTTTTCTTTTAAATAAAGTTACTTAGGTTCTGGTGAGATGACGTGCTGGTGGAAGGTGTTTGCTGCAAACCTGACTCAGGTCCTCTTCCTGGAACCCATGTAAAGGTGGAAGAAACAGCCGACTCCATGAAGTTGTTCCCTGGCCTCTATGGTGTGCTGTTGCCCTCCCCCCACCCAAGAAAAAATAAATTCTACTTAGGTAAATGTGAGTCTCATATCCAGAGCAAATTGAGCCTTTGGCACACACACCATGAACTCTTTTGAGTTTCAAAGGTCTATTCTTGCAAAATTCTTCGAGAAGTCATGTAATGAGAGTCTTTACATTTTAATATAGCAGGAGCGGGAAGTGCAGGTGCTGTGATGTACAGGCAGAGGTCAGAGGACAACTTGCAGGAGTCACCTCTCTCCTTCACCATGTGGATCCTGGGGCTCAGACTCAGGGCCTCAGGCTTAGCACCAGCTTCCTTTACTGGGTGAGTCATCTTGCCAGTCCCAGTGAGAGACATTTTAAACACCATCAACTAAAATACTATCCGTCACTACCTAGAAAGAGAAATCAGCAGATTACTCACGAAACTTATGTCTTAATAAAATATGCCTATGCAGGGAGGAGGGGACTGGACCTGCCTCGACTGAATCTACCAGGTTGAGCTGAATCCCCAGGGGAGTCCTTGCCCTGGAGGAGATGGGAATGGGAAGTGGGCTGTGGGGAGGGCAGTGGCGGGAAGGAGAGAGGACAGGGGAATCCGTGGCTGATATGTAAAATTAAATCAAATTATAAAATAAAATATGCTTATCAATCACTATCCTAAGAATTATAATCTTGTCAGACTTCCACTTGACAGACTATGGTGATACCAGAGAAATCAAAGTCTTAATTTGTCAGAAAACCAAATGCTGCTGTTCCTGGGTCAACAGAAGAGACTTGCTACATGACAACGAACTATCAAGTAGGAAGCGGGTTACTAATAGATTCGCTTTTATAGAATATATACTTATAAGACATTATCCTGAGAGTTATAAATCCCACTGGCTTTCATTGGAACAACTATATATCCACTTAAATAGTAACGTAATGCAAACTTGAACTTGTTCTATAAGGAAGATCAGAATGTTATTGCTCTCTTAATAAAGTATTTTACTGATTTTGTAAAGAATGGAAATACTTGCTGCAAGCTGAGTAAAATGGGGATACTTTATAAGATTTATCTCTAATCTTCGGTTATAAAACATCATAAGAAGTAATTATATCAAACTTACTTTGGAACCGTTCTATAATCTCTGCATTGATAGCGATTCAAGAAGAAATTCCAGTTACTTTAGTAGAAAGAAATTCCAGTTACTTTAGTAAAAAGGTTGATTGGCCAGACTTTTCATCGCTATGACAGATCAAATAACATCAGAGAACCAAGTTTCAGGAATTTAGTCCATAGTCCATGGTCTGTTGCTTCTCAGTCATGGTGAAGGAGACATCATAGTGATAGGAACTTGCATCAGAGACCACTTACCTCCTTATGATATGCAGGGAGCAGAGAAAGGGAAGAGGGAACAGTGGACAAGATACAGCCCCCAAAGATATTCCCTAGAAAACCCCACAAGCTGGGGCTCAACCTCCACTATATAAACTTGTCAGGGGGCACTCTATAATTCAAGCCATACATAGCATTCTGTGCTGGGTCCCCAAAGGCATAGTGTCCATCTCACTATGCAAAGTGTAGTTAGCCAATCTCTAAGAATACTGTCGTGATAACAATTCTGACAGTGTTCAGGAGGCCAGTCTGAAACTCTCCTTTGAGACTCAGGGAAAACTCCTAGCTGTGAGCCCCTGTAAAATCATAAACAAATTGTATATTTCCAAGGTACAATGGTATAGCGTAAACATTTCCATTCCCCAAAAGGAAGACTAGAAGGAATGTAAGGAGGGGTCACATCAAAGCAAGACTGAAACATCCTGGGAAGCATTAGTTCCCATAGCTTTGTGCCCCACATATAAGGCATGTGATGTCATGACATAAGCTTGTTTTCCTGAGCATACTGGCTGTTTGTAGATCACATGACCTCTTTCTTGGGCTGGCTGCACTTGCTTCTTGCAGCCTTGCTCGGCAGATGTTCTGTGGGGGGCCATCCCTCACCCCCACATTTCCCCAGAGTACTCTTGAGTAGGAGCAGCAGGAAATATTAGTTAGAAGGATAGAGGGGAGAGAAACAGATAGAAAATACAGGATAGCCTCCAGAGGGCCTGGATCCTAATCCATTGGGTCTTGACTGTCTCTGCCCCAGGGCATTTAAAGGAAAGTGAAGGGGTGGAACAGAAGACCTTCCCCCCAGCACAGCCAAGTGCAGACCATCTCAGACACCTGCACTCAGGCCTGTGGTCTGATCATCCTCTCTATGCAGACCTGCTGGGTAAAGCCACTAGGAAACCTAAAAATGGGCTCCGGCAATGTTCCGTATAACCAACATGTCAAAGATCCCAAGGTCTTCACTGCAGCTTGTTAGAAACTTTAATAGCTGTCTCAATGATTTTGTCACTATCCTCTTCATACCACCCCCCATTGTTCATGTTATCATATCAGTTGAGATTTCATCTTTGTATGCCAAATAATTTTGGATTATGTATTTTAACTTCATGTAATAAGATTCTGTCTTTTTAAAGTCCCATGGAAGATACTTACTTCAAGATTTTTACTTCAGTAGGAAATCAGTTAAGTCATACCACCCATTGTCACAAGCCACCTGTGTGCTGTGGCTCAGCATGTTGGGATGACAGTTGGATCTGTCTAGCTATGCTCCATGTGTTGGCCACTCTGGGGTTTGACCTGTTGTTCACATCTACAAGGCTTTTTTTTGTTGTTCTTGTTGTTGGTTTTTCGAGACAGGGTTTCTCTGTATAGCTTTGGAGCCTGTCCTGGAACTCACTCTGTAGCCCAGGCTGGCCTCGAACTCACAGAGATCCACCTGCCTCTGCCTCCCGAGTGCTGGGATTAAAGGCATGTGCCACCACCGCCCGGCTCTGCAAGGCTTTTATGTGCTTGCCAGGATAAGATCTGCATGTACACAGCTCGGAAGTGAACTTGGGTTACTTCCAGGGCTCCTTCCTCTTTACGGCCTCCATTTCCCTCTGGAAACTGATGCATCAGGACTGTGTCTACATCTGCAAGTAGAACCAAGTGAAGGGAATCACCAAAAGAAGAAGCAACAGCCAGTCACTGGCTCCCTTGATGATGAACCATCGTGTTTCCTGATACATTTGATTGATTTATGTATTTGTTCATTTGTAATTTAATTTTGTTGTGTATATTAGCGGGTGTGGGGTGTGGGGATCTGTGTGTGGATGCCTAAGTACTGTGGCATCATGTGGAGGTCAGAGGACAGCTTTCAGGAGGCAGTTCTCTCTTTCCACAGTATGAGTTCCTGAAACAGCTCAGGTCCCCTGGCTTTCTGGCAGGTGCGTGTGGTGCTAAGCCGTCTCATTGGCCGATATGACTGTTTTTAAAGAGTTATAAATATCCTTGTAAGGTTTCTTTTTTCCCTTTACAGTGCCTTTATGTAATTCTGTTTACATTCAGCTCTATATACTTCCTATATGTCTCTGGTACTTCCTTTTAATATATGTTATTTAATAATGTGATTAATCTAAGTGTGATTTAATAAAATACCATTTTCAACTATACAGGAATGTTTTCATTGATACCTTTTTATTGATACCCCTTAATTTTATATGAGTCTATCTTACAGTTTGCAAGGATATCATGAAAAACTCATATATGTGTTTAACTTTTCATTCGTATTTACCACGGCTAACATCTCCCCTCCATTTGCCCAGTCATCTTTCTCCCTTTTTCTCTCTGTACATATGTATGCATTTGTTCTAAACCAATTTCTAACAGAAAGTCACGGATAGCTCTGTTTTCCCCTAAACACCTCAATGTGTATTTCCTTTTTTAAACAGGAGACGATATCTTATGTAACCACACCACAACGAACAAAAATCAAGTCTGACGCCAGTGTGATGCCATTACATAACCATGGCTCATATGCGGGCTCCCCACTCAGTCCAGGGCGTCTGTTATGGTGACTACTACATCTAGCTGTCATGGATTAGCCCTTCCATCACTTGTCTCTAAGCTCACTCTTACAGCTTTTGGTACAAATATGGGTCCATCTTCCAAATTCTGTGGTTTGTGTTATGGGGAAAAAAAACCTCATTGGACTATTTATCATCATTTAAAATTACATACAGAAGGACATGGTATGCTTTCCCCCAGCTACGGGCATCCCCATTACCAGAGACCATTCTTTTTATCGTCCTGCTTTTTTAAAACTTTAACTTTTTTCGCCTTTCTCCTCCTTTTCACTTGCAAGTGGCAAAGCTCAACCACGTGACTGATTCCACAGTAGAGCGCTGAGCCACACTCGAGAATTACTTTCTTTTCCAGTGGCCAAACCTAAAGATTTAAATTTTGTCTTTGGTCAAAGTCTATTTCATGTAATGAAAGGAAATGTACACTCTTATGTTACTATCCCAAATGTTTTCTTCTCTTCGAGCAGCAGGTATTGAAGCTGAATTTTGTTTCTTCTTGATTATGGACGCTTGAATTGTGTGGAGGAGCAGTTCACCAGTGTGCTGCACTATGCCAATTACCCTTTTCTGGGACAGTGTCCAAATCTCCGGCATTCAGGTTGTCCAAACTATGACAATCTGCAGAACTGACAGTTTTTCACTTTGAAAATGGGATTCAAGTTTTATCTATTATAAATGCCAAATTCTACTGACATTCAATTCATTTTTCTGTGACCCCAAATATTCATTTTCCTACTGCTGAACTTCAGAAATTTGTCTATTACATTGAACTTTTAGGCATATGATACAAAACCTCTGTTATTACTTATGGTGTTTAATAAACTGTATATTATACCTTTTATACATAAGACGAGTTCATCAATTTGGTATAAAATAATTTATCAAGGTAATCATTCTGTCAAATATTGTTACACTAACTCGAAAAGGCTGAATGCGTTAGTGTTTACTTCAGGTGAGCAAAAATTATTTTCTTCTTTTGGAAATCAGGAAGCCATAAATACTTCAGTATCAACATAATTAATAATTAATTGAAAAATTGCAACAAAAATTCTTTTATTCTACGATGCATTTGTAATTGAGTCATACCATCTCCACTCCCCACACACCTTGTCTGTCAATCCAGGTGTGCACTGAGCATACTCTCAGAACCTTTTATACCTCTTTGATATTTAGGTTGGATGTTTATATATATTTAAATTTAGGTTCATATTACTTAAATAAACTTGTCATAGCTGGCCAAATGGCCATTGAACCAGCCCATCAATGTCACAGTATTTAGTTTTTTATCTACATCAGAATTCAGCATCCTTTTACAAAGTTAGTGTACAAGTGTTCAAATAAAAACAATGAAGAAAGGCAGCCTACAGCAAGGGGTGACTCCTTACCCAGGCTCCGGGTCCTAACTTGAATCCTCTGCTGCTGCCTATCAACCAATGTTCCTCAAGCAGGCTGCTTCATGCCTCATGGTTCATTTTCCTTATTTGTGCAATCAGAAGAAAGATAGCCATTCCTCTAGGGCCAATTAATTCAATAAATGAAAATAATTGTTTCTTGTTATACATAGAAGATTTGTTCTAGACTGTCCTGTGGATTTTTCTCAAGTTCCTTATATAAAATGGTATAGTATTTATATATAACCCACAAATGTCTCACCATGTATATTAAGTCATCTCTGGATAACTTACAGTACCAAATAGAACATTAACACTTATTACGTTGTTTAGGGAATATTGACAAGAAAAAGTCTGTACATGGTCAGGACAAAGTGAGATTTTTTTTTTCCTTCCAGAATGTTCAGTCTGCAGTTGGTTGGATCCAATATGTGGTACATGTGGTGTATGGAGACTGACTGCATCTTTCTTGCACCAGGCAATCTAGCCATTGTAGATACAGCAGTGAACAAAACACATAAACGCTTCTTCTGGGAAGTAGATAATAAACAAGGAGACTAGCTGTACATTGTTGCATGAAACGCTATGCAGAAGGACGAAGCAGGGGAGTTACGAGGAGAGCTGAACACAGGGGTGAGTGGTTTCAGATAAAGCTGCCAGGGAAGCCCCACTGAGCAGGTGGCAGACTCCCAAGGGAGGTTGGCAAGGCCATCCATCATTTGCATGAAGATTTTGGTAAAGTCTTCTAGGAAGAAAAACCCCAAGCAAGCATCACGGACCTTTTGAGTTGAAGAAATGGCAAAGAGAAAGGTAGGCAAAAGGAAGGCTTGCAAAGAGGAGGAGGGGCCACCTGTTTGTATTAGAGTTCTCTAGAGTAACTGAACTTAGGGAATGAATCTCTCTCTATAGATATATAGAAAGGGGATTTATTGGAATGACTTATAGGCTAGATGTCTCAGCTGGTCCTCAGTATACACTGGAATTCTGAAGAAGTAGTCATTAATGCCAGTGAAGGAATGGACTTGCTAGTAAGGGGAAAGCTAGCAGGCAAAGAACAAAAGTTTCTTTCCATGTCCTTACATAGGTTTCCAGAGGAAGGTGTGGCCCAGATTAAAGGCATGTCTTTCTGCTTCAAGATCCAGATGAAAGGCATGCATCTTCCCACATATAGATCCAGATTAAAGGTGTCTGTCTTCCTATTGCAAATGTCTGGATTAGAAGTAAATCTACCTACTTCAAATTAAGAAAAAAATCCCTCATAGTTGTCTTCTCTATTTTGGGGTTGGGGTTTTAGTTAATTCCGGATGAGTCAAGCTGACAACCAAGAGTAGCCATCACACTGCTCCTAGTCAGAGGAGTGCCCTAATCATAGCTCTAGGATCTTCTAGGAAGAGTGAAATCCGTGAGTATCTGAGTACAGGTAGACACCTTTCTTAGTTAGTGTTCTTTCTGTTGCTGTGAAGAGACACCATGACCACAGCAACTCTTATAAAGGAAAACATTTATTTGGGGTGGCTTGCTTACAGTTTCAGAGGTTCAGTCCATTATCATCATGGTGATGGAGTGCTGGCAGACATGGTGCTGGCTACATCTTGATCAGAAGGCAACAGGAAGTGGTCTCAGACACATGGCAGTATCTTGAGAATAGAAAACCTCAAAGCCCACCCCCATAGTGACGCACTTTCTCTGACAAGGCCACACCTCCTAATAGTGTCACTCCCTATGAACTTATGGTGGCCAATTACATTCACACTACACAGCTCCTGAGTACAGATCTGAACCCCAGCTGCACACTGCAATCACCTGAGATGGTGCTATCCATCTTGGATTCTGGCCCCAGGTGCCTTATCCACAGAGGGCCCATTTAATCACACTGGGGTATGACTTGTGTTATCAGGACATTTCAGTGCTCCCCAGGGGATTTAGAGTCATAGACTCAGTTTAAACTTAATTGTAACAGGTATTAAGAGATCTACAGAAGGGCTGGAGAAGTGGCTTAGTGGTTAAGAGCACTTGTTCTTCCAGAGAACCCAGGTTTGATCCCCAGCACCCACATGGTGGTTCACAACCATCTGTAACTCCAGTTCCAGGGCACCTAATACCCTCTTCTGACTTCCTTGGACACCAATCACATGTGGTACACATATATACATTCAGGCAAAACACTCATATAAAATGAATAAATCTAATACTTTTTTTCATAAAGAAGGTTACAGGAGAGTGTAGATTTTAGATGTAAGTTGATTCCTACTACAGAGACAGATGTCAGTTTCTTCAGATCCGAACACTTAAATCCTGACAAAACTAAGATGATGCTCTGTTCTGTGGGGTTGATTGATGTGCATAAAATACCTCCATGGAATTCCGTGAACCACCTAAGATATTGTCTTCATGGCATACCTTCATTGTTCCTTAGCTCAATGTCTATCTAGAAATGAGCCATTTCTTATCTTCATGATATAAATGACTATAGATGAAGTTGTCTTGGATAAGTAGAAGATGTATTTTCTCCTCCAAATTTGTTTGAGAATTAGATTTTTCTGCATAACTGGCTTTCACGTTGGATCTAAATTCCAGTTTTACATTGGGATGAGTGGAGCAAGACTGAATTAAAGCAAGTTAATTTATGAGGTGTTACTCATATTCAAACTGTGCCAAGTGACAGGTGACCCTAAAAATCACACAACTATCTGTACAATTAGGGAATAGACTAATATATTTTCCCACATTTCTTTTATGTTGCTAATAATGTTAAAGTTTTACTATCTGCAGTTAAATAAGAAATGATTTAATGAGAATGTTACAGAATTCGTAGAGAGGTATAGATCATTGCAGAGTCAGAAGTTAAACCATTGAAATAAGTGGAGAAAGAAATGGTCATATGATGTCATTAGCGTCTCACTGTACCTTGTCAGGTTAGAGGGAAGTGTCTTTCTTTCTGAATAGCCTTGTGAAACAGTTTATACTACAATAAAAAACATTTTTAATAAAATTTCATTCTACTATTAAAAACTATATAACTAAAATAAATGTTTATGGGGAAATAAGCAAGCAAAAATATTTGTAGAAATAGTAAAGAAATTGGATATGTTCATGTTAAATTTTCCATCCAAGAGAGATATATTTACTCATGTTTGATCCCAGAAGTAATCCATATACTGTGAGCCAGCCTAAGATAATGCTCCACAAAAGGCAGCA